GGGGGAGGGGGGGGGGAGCCCGCCGGGGCGTGACCATATATAGGGTCCTCATGGTATGCCCATTATATACGCCAGAAAGCCCTACAACCCCAATTAAGGATCCAGAGTTAGGACCCTGAACACTGTTCGGCGTCCATGGTTAGGACCTTAGATGGCCGGCAGGCCAGGGTGCATCAAGTATCCACTCCCTGGCGTTTACTTAGTGGGCAAAGGTGTAAGTATAAACCAGATAGTGACTGATATGTATAGCTCAATCAGTCGGCAGGGCTCTCATAATTCGGTCATGAGGAAGAATTATGAGTGAGTTATAACCCTCCAAGTAGGCATTATTATATGGTGTAAGACAAGGACGGCTCTAGGGATCCATTTCCTCATTCGCTACGTAGCATGAGGCCGTCAATCATTTCGCCTGCGACAGAAATTCACATCCTGCAAACAAATCTCACGGGTCAATATGGCTCAAGTTCTCATTTGGGACATTCACCGTTTAGCAGGACCTGTGGTCAATACTTGGTACTGCATTGTGGGGAGGGACGTGTTCATAAACGATGCGGCCAGGCCTTTCTTATCGAATTGTGTGTTCTTGCCAAGGCTGCTTGGGATTGATAGACTGCGCAACTCCAGAACTCGTTCTCTTCTCTTGCTGGTTCTTCGAGGGCATACGGGACTATAGTATATGGGGTAATATAGGGATTATATCCCTTATTCTCTACTAAGAACTCATTCTCTTTTGTTTCCACATACGGCCGAAGGTCTTCAAGGGCTCAGAAGGAGTGAAACGAAATTAGACGATCTCCTTTCCAAGGCATTGAAGAGATCATCTGAGCTATAGTGGGGGTGATATAAGGAGTTCATTAAGGGGGGGCTACTAGGAGTTTAAACTATAGCTCATCTGGTGCTACCAATAAGGAAGCACCCTCACCCAAGCTGACATGCAACCCCAGATCAGCCAGCTTTTAAATGACTGTGGTCTAGGGGCTTGTGAAGGCAGTGTAGTCAGGGGAGCTGCAAGGATTTTGGGGGAAGCACAGTCTTCTGAGCTGCCAGGGACACCAGCATCACCAGCTCCGTATATACCCTACCAAAGCGCTCCACTGCACTGTGTTTGTGGTTTGTTGTGTGTGTGTGTGTGTTTTTTTTTTTTTCCGCGACAGGGTTTTAGTGTACTACTAAAACACAACTACATAGTAGGCTCCTGTGAGGCCCTTAAAATCGCTGTTCCTGAGGCCCAGAAGCCTGAACTGCCTCACCAAGCAAGTCACTACCCTAAACCGTAAGAAAAGATCAGGTGGGCCAGCGGTCAAGGGAACCAAAGAGGCATGAACGAAGAAGAACAAGCAGGGTTTAGGGCAAAGAATCCACGCCCTTTACAGTGAGGTGCAACAACTATGTGCAGAGCATTTCTTTTTCAGGTTTAGGGCGTGAGACCTTGTTTAGAACATGCGGCGGATGGTTACTAACTACCGTGCGTCTGCCCTGCATTTCACCCGCTTCGCGATGCTTTGAACATTGGCTGGCACCGACCCCAAATTGCTACAATCCCGTCCATGATCGCTGGACCCTACACAAGACGCCTGAGACGTGTACAGGAAGACAGCCACCGAGCAAACCTTGTACAAATACAGTGCGCCGTATAACATGCGTCAACACCCGATTACACTGTTCAAGCCTCACATTCGAGTTCCCTAAGTCCCCTAAAGAAAGACTGCTTTCAGGCAGCCTCCCATTCCAACCCTCCACCTCAAATCCCCAGAAATCAGTATAGAAGCACGCTATCATCCCCACAAAGCCCTGCACCATCGCATTCCACTACTCAGGGCTCATGTTGTCAGCTGTGGTAGTTGGATCTCTGCACCCGACGAGGTTCTTGCCGCGACCAGGTGTTGCTTGTGGAGATACCTGACAATAGGGTTTAGGGATTAGGGTTTAGGGATTAAGGTTCAGGGCTTAGGGTCTAGGATACATATCCTTTAAAATTATACAGCTGCCCTGAGGACCTCAGGGATGTATCTGGTTACGTGGGTTGTAAGAGGATATGGGAGCATCCTTATTGGGAATTATGGTGGATCATTCTGCGGAGGGAGATTTAAGGGTTTGTCTTGCTCTGGGGTTTAAATGTTCAGGGCAAAGGATCTAGGACTATAGAGTTCGAGAGGCCCAGGGTGTAGGACCAGGTTCTGAACAATGTTTGGCTACATGGATGGGTACGTGGAATTTTTGTAAAAAAAAAAACAGCGGCAGCTTTGGGAGTGTAAGTGACTTTCGGGCCTTTCGGACCTTTATCCTCAAGCCCACTGCTGGGGCAGTAAGGGCCCTGATTCCCCACATCTGTTTTGTCGGGCCAAGTTCTATGACAGTGAAAGTTCTGGACCCTCGCATCAAACTTGTAGAATAGGAGCAGAAGTAGATACAGCCACTGCAAACAGGTTGTTGAGGTCGTATCTAAGATATCGCTAAGATGATGATCAAGACGAGACGCAGAGTTGACCACGAGTTTCCGGTTGCAGCTTGTTGCAAGGGACTAGGTACACAAGGAGATCAAAGTTTATGGATTTGGGGCTTACGGCTATACCTTTTAGGGAGCCAGCTTGTCCATGGCATGCCGCATACAACGGGTCAGAAATGAAGACGACCAACTGAATTCTCTGCGCAGTAAGAACATAAAGTAGTTGACATTTTTAGAATGTTGGTGCCCGCAGCTGGGCACTACCACACGGGGAACCTTGTTACAACATGAACTTGGTCTAGGTTGCTGCGCTTTGTCATTGTCGAACGCAGCGAGGAAGGCTTGGAAATCGGCATCCCCTCCATGATTCTGATAGCCATCCTATAGGTTCATATGGCTGTCAGGGCTGCAGAAACCACCACCCAAACCAAGGACGACAGGGACCAGCAAGTTTCTAAGAAGCATACTCAAAATCAGGAAAACTTGTCGAAGGTTGCTCTCATCCTTTTGCAAGAAACTTCTGAGATAGTTAGTATCAAGACCGATGCTGGGCGCAGCACGAGAACTAATAGGGGGAGGCTTAGACAGGATCATGTTTAGGGGGGGGGGAGGGGGGGCGCAGCCAAAACGAAACAGCGAACGTTGAGAGCCGAGCAACAGATATAATTCGGAAAACGCCGCCAGAAGATTGACAGAGTTCTGCATAACGCTCCACTGAAAGCCCATGGAACTCGTGACTGCCGAAAAGCAAAAGAATGATGTTCCACTCGATGCGGTAGCCCTTCTCGCGCAGGCTAGTCTTCAGGGCGTCCATGCCCTGGATACCACGGAACATCCCAGGAGAGTGAGTGTCTTCACCATCTGTAATCAAATGTACCCGAATTGTAGCCCCAGGGTCGTATGTCTGCATGATGTCCGTTTCAATCATCTTCCACATGTAAGTTCCGCGGCTTGAACCGTCCCAGGCAGATAGGATCGACTGTAACTCGGCCTGGCGAATCTTGGCGGCATCATCAGGGCAGAAAAGCTGCTGCTACACAATGTCTTCCACACACCCCACTTGCAGGTTCAGGGCAGTTGTAAAATTTCTGTTACATCAGTACTTACATTCCAATGATAGGCCCCCTAAGCCACGCAGTAAGTCTGAAATCGGGCTGTAACCACAAGTAGCAGAGTAGCATGGGATGCCACATTGCCTTGAACCTCCAAACAAATTTGCCAGCAACCGCCTGACTTTGGAAGCTTGACGTCTCCAGAATAAGCTCTCGGAGCATGCGAGTTTCAACTCTCAAGCTCCCATCATGGTCTGTCTCCTGAAGCTCCCAGCATGGTAGACAAGTTGAGCTGCACAAGAGACTCATGGTAACTGAGCCCCCAAATTTAGGACTCCATAGCTATCGCATGACCCTTGCAGGACCCTTACTTTTGTGATTTCGCTTAGCGCACCTCTCTTGTTAAGCAAGCTCCTCCGGAGGGAGGTGCAACCTGACCATAAAAGCCGCACGCCCTACCAAAAACAACAAGCACGCGTGTGGGGCATAGGGAAACCCTAAACCCTAGGCCCTAAGCGTTTAGGGTCCAAGCATACTCCAGGTCTCGTCCACCATGAGGCCGCCAAACTTCACGACTCGAGTCGGAGTTCCTTCGTATCCGATACTGCCCCCCACCTCATATGTCATATGAGCTATAGTCTAAACCCCTTAAAAGGGGCTTATAGGGGGTTTTAAGGGGGATACACGGAGTTTTGACTATGGCTCATATGTGGAATCATAGTCTAACCCTTACGCAGGGCGTAATAATACTATGACCCCCTATAAAAATCACATACACATCCATTCGCAAAGAGTACAATACAGCACTACAAGTACACAACGGTAAGGACAGTTGTATGATAGGTTTAACAAAAATATTATGTCCAATGATTCCCATATCAACCAGGTACTACAATTGAAACATTGAGGGCCACTTTTTGTTGGGACAGTATCCAACCTTGCAAGTAGTGGGCCAACTGCATCAGCTCCCGGTGGCCTGCCTCCACGTATGGCGGTGTGTTCCCCCCAAAAAGTACATGTGGCTGGGCTGTGAGGGGCTGTAGGCTATAAACTATGAACCATAACGCGGGAAAAGCTTGAGTGGTTTGCTACGTAGGCCTCCAAGCATGTCTTGTCCCAGCGGTATTTTGCAGATAGAGAGAAGGCACCCTCAGGCACCACCTTGAACTGGATCATTGAAGTACCTTAGGAGTCCCGGAAGCTAGGGGTCTGGCAAGTTACAATGAACTGAATTGTGATACACGTCAAGCTCTACCTGTGTCTGTCGCTACCACAAAACTTTCTATGATCTTTTTGAAGGTGAACATGTTTCCAGTGCAAGACACTCCCTGTATGCTGCCCCGGTAGTGATCCCGGTAAATCGCCTTCTGCCTGTTCTTGCATGCCAAAACAAGCCCTAAACCCTGGACCCTCAACCATGAACACTGAACCCTACGCCCCAGAACCGTGACCGTTGTGAATCCTTGAAGCCTGAACCGTAAACTCCAACCCCAAAACAAGCTACTGTCATCCAGGTAGAGGAGGTTGGGCACAGGGCTGGTTGCCTCTGGCAAGTCCTCACCACATGCCAGCCCATCACTCTGCAGGCATGGTCGGTGGCGCATGGTAGATAACAAGAGGGCAGCCCTGCTTTCACTGCCGCTACGGCTGCTGCTACTACAAAAGATAGTAATACTAATAATGATGCATCGTAATAGTAAGGATATCAATAAATTCTACGACGATGACTCCTACTGCCACATTACCCTACCACTACGGCGACTACGCTTTCTACTGCTCTTCATGTCATTTTGTAAGCCCTTCTCAGGTTGACTCTGCAGATGACAACCGGCCATGCCTTCAGAGTCATGGCCATGGGCCCGCCAACCGTCTCGGCACTGGCCGCCGGTGAGCCTGTGGGCTCCGGGACGGCAGTCGCGCTTCCGTTTTCCTGTAGCTGCCACATAACCATGAAGCACATGACACTTGGAATTGTCTTCGGGCTTGACAAGCGGACTATCAGCAAAACATTGGAAAGAGACTGTTTTTTTCCAGCCATGACTCTCCGGTGCCCTCATTGCTTTCCTGAGCTTCTCTTCGGCGCTGCAGAAACCGCTTTGCGGCTCTGACTCGAGCATTCCAAATCTTACCGGGGATGTCTAGGCCCAAGGCTGTGAACCACGCCATCCATGCAGACAACCAGAGCTTCGACAACAGCCCCTGCGATGCAACCAGCCGGCTCAGAAGCATCCCTGCTACCTGCGGGCTGCGTAGAATCAGCAGCACAGGTAGAGAAGTGAGTACTCCTGCACCTACCAGCCCAGGATAACGCACCACAAAGCGCCAGATGCGGTTTGTGTCCCGCCGCAGAAAGGCCTGATACGTCTCGGCGGCATCGCTCCTCAACTCTTGCAAGTACTCTTCCCGCGCCTGCTGCAGTAGAGCTCGATCTTGCATGGCCTGCTTCCAGAGTGTCTGCGCACCCTCCATGTCCTTTGCTATAGGCAGCCTAGACCTTTGGGGTGGGCTTTGGGATTCCAGGTGAGTTTGGAATTTAGGGCTTAGAGTTCAGGGTGTTATAGGGCGTAATCCGTGTTCAGGGTTAAGTTTCATGCTTAGGGTTGAGGGGCGGGGCTTGAACAGCAGGTCCTTAATGAAAGCCAATTACTCCTTTAAGAAAGGTAGCTTACCTCTCCCAAGGAATTTATGATCATTTTGGGAAACGTTGTTGTGACAAATCTCCACCGGCTATTTGCCAAGTCTAGGGCGTTTTTACCGAGTACCTGAATGGGAACCCTACTGCTGGAAAACACTCAGATGGAGATTGTTGTTTTGTCCCGCTCATGTTGAACCCATGTTGCGCAGGCCCCAGGCCCCACAAAGCCCGACCCCAAAACCATGTTAGCTACAGTCAGTACCTCTAATACAATAGACAGACATGGGTTCCCATTAGGAGTTGTACTAAGGACCATACTAAGATACAAAAAAGGACCCCTTATGTCCACCGTGAGTAGCCCCAGTATAACTAGAGTGACCTAGTAGCGACACACTGGACCCCTGTAGAAGCCCACTTTCCACATACTGCTTTCAATTTGATGTGCCCTTCCTTTCCAAAAGCCCTAAGCCCCAAAATAACCCTTAAACCTCTACCCTAAATCTCTCAACCAACCCCCCACCAATCCCCGCAAAAAAGCTTGTCGCCCAACGTCCTCTGCTCTTCTGCCATCTCCAGGCTTCCATCGCGGCCCACCAGGCGCTTGGCATTTTGCATCTTCCTGGGTTTAGGAAACCCCTCTAGGGTTTGGAGTTTGGAACGGTACCCCTACACTCTACTATGGCCTGTTGTGTTCTTGTTCTACTCTCTCTCTCTCTCTCTCTATATACATACAGACAGAGGTTTACAGTTGCGTTGGGCCCGTTACGATTCTTCCACAGCGCACGGCTACCGTGAAGGAACATGACATTGCCAATGGGTGTGGGAATCTCTCTTGATGGGTTTCTCTCTCGGGTACTGCAGAATAGGGTGTGCTACCTAATTCGCCTACAATTAGCACCCCGTCGCCTACTTTCCCGTGACCATGTTATCAAAGCTTTGTGCTTTGCTTGGGCCGCTTCATCATACAGCACCCACTGCCTTCTACTGTCTAGTGAAAAACGAGCAAGACATCACTTTTGGACACGCCCTCTGGCGATACCATACACTGTATTCAGCCACATGGGCTTTCACAAATGGTTGTAGGGGTGATTACATACAGTCCCCCTTAAGTAGATAGAATATGGCTTTGGGTATATTGTAATATGATCCGCATATACCCCATATTCTATCTACTTCAGGGGTACTATAGGTCTCCAAGGCGCGCTGGCATCATACTTCTGCCGTAACTCTGCATTGCTAAGGACTTCGTACGCATCAGCGAGCTGACGGAACTCCCAGGACTTTGTGGCATCCCCTTCATACCTACAGCGTGCGGTTTTTAAGGATTTCATTGAGGGCTTAGGGTTTATGGTTTAGGGATTTGGGTGTGATTGAGGGTACTAGCTGGAGGTTCACATGTATGGGTGGTCTACATGGAGGTTCATGCACAGACAAAAGCAACGTTCTGTGTGCGCAAGCATAGTTATGACTCGATATCATATAACCCATACAACAACATTTCTCCTGCGTGTAAAGCTGGTTCTTTCCTGGCGCATATATCAAAATCCCTGGCACAACACATATACGCCTTTCAGAGAAATCTACCAGTAGCCAATGGAGAAGGTTTTCCAAGTAGACTCCAGTTACAGGTCAGGGTGACAGTTCTTGGCCTTTTGGTAAAATGCCATCTTAATCTCTGCCTGGGATGCTCCGTGCGTTACCCCCAATCGCTTGTAGTGTGTCAAAAGCCTTTGGCCACTCTGTGATGACATAGCCCGGAACCTTGGATCCCAGTGTCACCCTAAGGGTCGAAGTACCTAACAATGATATACTTACCCAAAACCTGTACTATAATTCCTATTACCCCAAACCCAGGTACCTAATCATTGGGTACTTCGACCCTCTGGGTCACTGTTCAACAGAATACTTTCGCATCGATTTTTGCCGCCGCTGCCGCTGCGTCAGCTGCTGCTAGAATCTCTCCTTGTTAGTTCTACCGCCGCTGTTCGTTCTTGGTCAGCGTTCCTATCAAAATCCAAAAAAATCCTGAGAGCTTTCGTTAACGGCGGCTTCAAAGCACAAAGGGTCTTCTTCACCCGACCCTAAACATTGAACTCGAAAACGCAAACCGTCGATTGCAAACACTTACTGAATCCTGCAACAGCAACGCCATCTTGAGTGAGGACTCGGGGAGCTTGCAGCGAACCAGCGGCCATGGGCTGTGGACCAGTCGAAAAGCGCGCAACATCGGGAGGGCGTTGTTTGTTGTTGAAGCCTTTAAGGAGCCTAGGGATACACGGGCATTTTAAGAGGGGGTAAGAGGGTTCGCGTAGGTCCTTATTAGCGATGATACCAGGATGGCTCTGTAAACCTATTAAATCGGTATCATCGTGTGCAGAAAGAAGGACCATCCAGGCAAGATCGAGAAGGCTGCAGCATGCCAGGGCTAGGCCAGCACGTAAGTCATAGACCCTTGAACCATATCCAACGGCTCCTACCTAGTTCCTTTGGGCTTTGTTATGATGGCTTTGGGAAGGGATCGGATTGCAACGTACTACTGCATACGAGGCTGTGGGTAAACGCTATCCTATACCAAGCCCGAAGCTAAGCATGTACTCGGGAAGACTGTGTTCAGTATGAGCTACAGAAAGCATTTATCCCTGCAATGCAAGGACATGGGTTCCGATAAGGGAATCTATCGGGGACTCCACTACGAACAGGACCTGCATGTCCACCTTCATGGTGTCTAGGCGACCCTGAACCGTAAACCCTAAATCCTAATTCAACCCTAAACCCAACAGGGACTGTAGCTCAGCACATGGCGGTTGGCCAATAGGGTTGGCATCGTGCGTCATTTGAATCAGGCTGCAAGAACTGTTCCGGCATTTACGCCATAGATCCATGGAAGTATACAAGAAGCTGTGACTGTAGCTAGAGCCCTATAAGACCCAAAGCAAAACCCCTGCCTTCAGCTCCAAACCCAAATTTGAACATGGATCTCTAATTGCGGCTCCGGACCCTTGTGCCCTAACCCTCCAGACCTAGAACAATCAGTCAAAGCCTCAACTGTTGCACAAGTGAGGTTGCTGTCCTTTCTCCGCCTCACGCCGAAACTTCCAGATCTTCTGTGCCTCTTTGATTATGGGGTTTAAGGTTCAGGGTTTAGGTTCAACAAGGGTGGACGGTCGAGTTTTCCTTTGGAATTCTAGAGCAAATCTGCGTCACCAATATCCACAAGCCCTGTCGCAGAATTCCAGGCTCTTTTTGCGCGATCATAAGTCCTAGATCCTACACTCCAAACCGATATACCCTTATATATCCTGAGAAATCCTGGGCCGGAAGCCCTAGACCTCGTAGCCAAGCTCCTGTCGCTCTTATGCCTTGGAAACACAGTTTTCAGTCTGCAGGCTCCCGCGGGAGCGAGATGCGGTTCCAAAATGGGAATTTCCTAAAATTAAGGGTGCTTCTCTGGGGTTCCTGTAAAGGGGGACATAGGGGTCATACAGGGGCTATATTGGGCTCGGGGCTTAGAATT